GCCTGGCAATTTAAGAGCTTTTTAAAATCTTAGGAATGAAAATTAAATTATGTTAGTTGCCTGTTCAACATTTAAAGATTATCATCTAGGAACTGGAGAAACAGCCTAGCTGTTAAGAGCACCTGTCCTCCTTTTCCAGAGGACCCAGATTTGGTTCCCAGCATTCACATCAGGTACTTCATAACCACTGGTAACTCTAGTTCTCGGGCAGTGGTTATCAACCTGTGGGTCACGACTCCTTTGGGTTTGCATATCAGATATATCAGATACAATTTATGACAGCATCAAATTACAGTTATGAAGTAGCATCAAAATAATTTTATGGTTGAGGGTCACCACAACATGAGGAACTGTGTTAAAGGATCACAGCATTTGGAAAGGTTGGGAAATACTGTTCTAGAGGGATTTGACACCCTCTTGTAGCCTGAAGGTACCCACATACTGTGGCATACACACACACACACACACACACACACACACACACACACACACATTCTTTCTTTTCACTACTCGTCTGATGCATTGTAGTAATGGATTTTCTTGTGTTGAACAGTTCTTGAACTAGAACTCTTGGTCAGTGTCTTAGTTAGGATTTTATTACTGTGAAGAGACACCATAACCATGACAACTCTTATAAAGGAAAACATTTAACTGGGGCTTGCTTAACAGTGTCAGGGGTTTGGTGCATTATCATCACGCTGAAAGCATGGCAGCATGGCAGCATGCAGGCAGACATTTGCTGAAGAAGGAGCTTGATCCATAAGTAGTAAGAAAAGAGCTGTGTGCCACTGAGCCTGGTCCTGAACATCTGAGCCCTCAGAGCCCTCCCCACAGTGACACACTTACTCCAACAAGGCCATACTTTCTCCATCAAGGCCTTGTCTCCTAATATTGACCTTAGAGGTGAACCATTCAAACACATGATGAGGGGGACATGCCTATAAAAAACGCCTACAGGCAGGGCATTTTACTGAATTTTGTATCTTTTTTTGTTTTGTTTTTGTTTTTTGTTTTTCGAGACAGGGTTTCTCTGTGGCTTTGGAGGCTGTCCTGGAACTAGCTCTTGTAGACCAGGCTGTCCTCGAACTCACAGAGATCCACCTACCTCTGCCTCCCAAGTGCTGGGATTAAAGGCATGCGCCACCAACACCTGGCTCTGAATTTTGTATCTTAATAATCTACTTTAAATGTTTTTACCAATGCTCATAAAATGTGTTTACCAATGCCTTCATACAGAATTTATCTCTATCATTTATGCTGCTTTTCTTGCCCTTAGTATCAGTATTGCACTGACTTTTAAAATACTTTTGAAAGAATTTGGTAGCTTTTTCTCTGATCAGTGTCTGAAATAGCTTAGTGTTCTTTCTTCTTGGCCACTCCTAATAGAACAGTGCTCTTGTCCTTCCTCTAAGTACAGCTTATGGTGTCTTCTAGAGCTGTGTTTTTGTGCTTTCCAGTCACTTATTTAGAAAGAATTTCACAGTTACATAAGAGCTGAAATGACATGAATAATTTTATCCTCTGTTATGCATGCGTGCATGTCTGTCTTTATCTGTCTATCCATGCCTATCTTTTTATCCCATTTTTAAAGGGGCTCTAATAAGAGCTTTCTAGAAACTTCAGTTAAGAATGCCATCCTATAAAAGCCTAACATCTTACTACTCTGAGAAATGACTCCTCCTCAGGCAGTTTTGCTCACAGACCTTTAAAATGGCCTTTCTAGGAAGCTGGAGAGATGATTCAGCAGTTAAGAACACTGGCCTCTCTCCAAAGGACCCAGGTTCAATTCCCAGTACCTACATGACAGCTCACACCTGTTTATGACTCCAGTTCCAGGGCATCTGATGCCCTCACACAGTCATACATGCAGGCAAAACACCAATGAACCTAAAAATAGAATATTAAAATAATAATAATAGCCTTTCTATTGCCTTCTCTCTACTTTGCCCAGCCCAGCAGAGCTTCTCTAAAGCCATTCTTTAAACTGTAGGTCTCCTTGAGACCTTTATCAACCCAAATGTGGTGCGTTTGGAGGGAGAAGGAGGGGAGAGAGAAATTGGTGTTTTATTCTTCCCTACCTTCTCCCTCTTGACCTTTTGAATCAGTGGGTTCTCTTTAAGAGAAGGCCTGCCCCTGCCAAGGGGTGAGCTAACCAGCAGTGCAGTATTGATAGATGTCCCTCTAGTGTGACCTCAGTGACTCTTTGTTATTGAGAAGAAGAAATGGACCTGAATGTATTCCTGTGGTTGTGCTCCCCTGCAGGTCTTCTAAGAACAGTGATTTTTCACATATACCACCTAAAACTCCCAATAGGAAAGACAATTGTAATTTAATTACTCAAAAGGAAACTCCCAAAGACATAGTTCTACTAAAACATATGCTCCTTAAAATAATAAATAATATCCTGGTGGGTGCACACCTTTAATCCCAACACTCAGGAAGCAGAGGTAGGGATCTTTGAGTTTGAGGCCAATCTGACCTACAGAGTAAGTTCTCAGACAGCCAGTGCTACACGCTTTAAAACAAACAAATAAATAAATAAGTAAATAAAAGAAAATACTCTTTAAATCTTATATTTCCCTATGTGGGTTTCCTTACTTTAAGTCTCTTAAGATTTTTAAACCTTCTAACTTAAAGTGGTTTCCCCAGGGAGCCTCTTCCAGGACAAATAGAACATCCGATTTAAAAATAACCTCTCTCCCCCATTTCCACACTAAAAAGGTGCTAGCTGCTTTTAACTCTAAAACTTGAATTTTTTCCAAATTCAAAAGGTTCTCAGTAGCTGGCATTGTCTGTGTTTAAAAATTGCTATATAAAAGCAATCCCAGCATAACAAATTGAAACTAAAGTTCCATATTGAGATCATTGTTATTTAATTATTCTTTGTAGTTTTAATAGAAAACATGAAATTATTCTTCCAAATGAAATGATGATTTACTATTTTGAAAACATTGATAAAATGTATTGTTAAAGTTCATATATTCTATTTAATCCTTATGTAGACATCTATACTATCATTGAGTCAGCTTCGGTTCTTAATAGTAATTTAGTCTTAAGGGAAGAAACACTGGAGGATTCTACTTTAACCTTTAAGGCCAAAACTTTTGAGCTACCTATTGAGTGTAGTTCTTTTCATATACCAAAATTATGTGTGTTATTCCTTTGAGTATTATTCTGTTTTAAATTCTCAATATTATGATTTCTAAGTCCATGATTTAAAAGTTTGTATCTAACAACAACAGAAAAACATAATCACATACAGTCATCTTTCTGTTAGCAAAATTCTTTTCTAGAACAAATTTGCCCTGTCCTAGAGAGATAGGAGTGGCTTTGCTACCCAGGCTGGCTTTGAAAGTGCTAGCTAGACCAGGATATTTTAAAACCCAGACCCTTCCTGCTTCAGCCTGCACCACTATACCTGCTTCCTCAATTTTATCCTTGAGAGATTGGGTCAAACATTTTGACCTTGAGCTTGATAGTCCCTCAGTATTAAAAGTAGTTACACTTGAGTTCCCTCAAGAGACTTGAAGGAATCTGAGTTCCATCATGTGGCCTGAAGCTGAATGCTATTAAAGCTTTGGTGCCACCTGTTTAGAACAGCAAACACCTTGCTCATCTCTGCTTCATCAACTCCAGGGAATGTAAAGTTGCTACCTTTCCTTAAAGCACCCATTCACTTGGGCAATCAAGTAATACCTGTGGCAGTGGCGAGGTCCTAGGTCACAAATATTACTTCCCAAATTCTATTCACTGTAATCTTTTTCTTATAAAAGAACATTTTCTTAAACAGGTCACACTAATTTTCTCATTAATATGGACTATTGGTTGCCATAAATGTAACTTTAATTGAATCATTCCCATTGGTTTTTTTGTTCTTTTTTTTGGGGGGTGGGTCATTTGTTTTGTTTTTTGAGGCAGGGTCATTTGTTTTGTTTTTTGAGGCAGGGTCATCTATAGGTTGGGCTTAATTTGAACTTTCTGTGTATCTTAGGATGACCGTGAACTCCTGCTCCTCCAGCCTCTACCTCATAAATGTATATTACAGGGTTGTTTCACCATGCCCATTTTATTCGGCAGTGAGAATTGAACCCAGCGCTTCATCTAGACAAACTCTACCCACTGAATGGTTTTTATATATAATAATATTTTATTAATTCTTTGAGAGTTGCACTCAGTATCCTTCGATTATATCCAGCCCCCCCATCCCCCAAGTGCTACCATATCTATCCCCACCCACCCAACTTCTAGCCGTTTTTCTTTTTTAAGCCTATTGAGTCAAATTGTGTTGCCCAAATAATTTTGGGTGTGAGGGCTGCCCTGGAGCATCAGCTATCAATTACCAAATCCTTTCTCAGCTATGGGTTAGCTCCCATGCTGGAATCTGGCTTGAGTTGGCATAGGTCTTATGAATACTTATAAATGCAACTACAGTATTGTGTTAAAAAAATTTCATTGCAATCAACTCCCACCTCTGGCTCTTAGAGTTTTCCACCTCTCCTCTTCCTTGAGAGTCCCTGAGTCTTTGGGAGAAGGGTATGACATAGATGTCCCATTTAGTGCCAAGTACTCCCAAGTCTCGTATTCTCTGTCCATTGACCATTTGTAGACCACTTTGTTAATTGCTATCTAACACAAAAAGAAGTTCCTTTGGAAAACATGTATGACTCATAGTTATTTTAACTTTAAGTAACATGATCTTTCCTGTAGGTAGGTAATTAATGCATTTATTGTTGTGTTCTCAAAAAGGAAAAACTATAAATGAAATCAATATAATATTTATATCTAGGGGTCATCTGTCTTTAATGTTAATCACAAATGATTTTTAAAATAGTATAATTTCTTTATTGACTCTTCAAGTTCCTAGTAATTTTGAACTTTTTATTAACTATATATTCCAGTTGATATAATAAAATTCTTGATGTAACACTTTTTAATATTTGATAATTTCTTTCAGCATATAGGCTTTATTTGTAACGTGTACTTTTTAAATTTGTATTTAGATGGGACTGGGGAAGACAATTCAGGCAATTGCAGTTGCGTACTTCTACAAAGAGGAATGGCCTCTGCTGATAGTCGTCCCTTCATCTCTGAGGTACCCTTGGACAGAAGAACTAGAAAAGTGGATCCCAGAGCTAGAGCCAGAGGAGATCAATATTATCATGAACAAAACTGATATTGGGTAAGAAGAACTTAATTGTCTTGAAGAAGTAATATAGCCAGATGTTGTGGTGGCAAGACCTTTTGATACCAGCCTGGTAAATGGAGTGAGTTCTAGCATAGCCATACACCGAGAAACCCTGTGTCGGGAGGGGAAAAAAAGGAAGGAGATGGGTGACCTAGAATTAGCACTTTCTGAGCTTCAAAAGTAACACCTCTACCAAAAATAAATATCTGTTAGTTCTTAGATCATTCTTGGTGATATTGTTCTGAACTGTATTATCTAACACTATGAATATAAATAGTGTTTATAGGGATAACTTAGGCTTACATGGAGGAGGAAGCAGGTATAGGTATAGGTATAGGTATAGGATGTTTTACAGTCTTTTAACCTTGGAACCCTAATTCATTAGCATTTATATGTATGAATCCAAGAAAATTTTAGGCCCTATTTGCATACTTTAATAAAATGTAGACAATTCTTGTTAACTGGTAACTTCTCCAGAAAAACTGCATAAAATTGAAAAGACACAAATTTAGAGAACTTAGATGTCTATACTGACATTTCCTTAAACTTTATCCTTTGTCATCTTTTTTGGCATTGGATGATCTACTTTTCATTATTATTTAGGAGGCACACAGTCTTGTGATTAAATAGTGGTAGTGGCTTTTGTTTATATAATATTTGGGTGTGTTAGATAAGACCACAACTCCAGGAGTGTGCAATTTTGGAAGGTATTAACAAGGACATAAAAGTTACTTGGTATATTCTAAATCCATGGAGAAGCAGTTTTGGATATGCACCAACTTGTGTCAGTGTATGTTTACTGTATATAGAGATTACTCCTAGTGCCATCTGTTGCTGAACTACCACCCAGTCCTGGTATATCAGAATAGAAGCCACCAAGATGGCTGCAGTTACCTGCAACACCATTGTCTGGTGAATATTATTCCTCATAGTATATCTTAGTTAGCTCATAATACTAAGCCCATACTTTTCTTCTGTAGGCTCTTCTGCTATCTGAACACACAGAGTTCTCCATGTTGATTAGATGTGTCCAGGCCTTCAAATGCTGCTCACAAGTTAGGAGCTCTCACTTCTTCCTCGGAGGACAGAAAGTGGGGCTTGGAATAGGGGATGGCTGTGAGGATAAAGCACTTCTAATCCCCAGCTCCAAGATAAATGGTGGGTGGGCATAATGGCCTATCTTCATTCCCTGCACTAGAGAGATGGAGACAAGGAATCTTGACATAAAAGCTGGGCTAGCATGTTAGCCTGCCAGTAATCCCAATCTTGAGTTGTAGAGAAAATCCAAGGGACCTCAGGGTAAGATGGCTAGCTAGATTAGCTAAGTTGGAGAGCTCTGAGTTCAGCAAGATACCTTGGATATTGGATAATTGGAGAGGGATGGAGGAGGATACTTCAAATCAACCTCTGGTATCCATATGTATACAAACAAGCACATTCCCTCCCATCTACACATGTATAAATGCCTAAATGCACAGAATAAGAAAGTGGCAGGTGAAGCCCTGTATTGTTAGTGAAAATAGAATGAAAAGTTGGTACCTTTTAGTGTTCATGAGCTTGTCTCACTACTTCATTCTACACTAGGAGCAAATACTATGTGTATAAAGATGAATAAAACACATTTTCTTTCCTCACTGGTCTCAGACATTACTAAGAAAATGTGCATAGGAATAAGCGTATAATAGTAATTAAAGACATTTGCAGAGGTGTGTATTGTAGAGACCAAAGCTCAGAGAATCACTTTATTTTAGCTTGGTGGCCCTGTGTCTAAGGGGAGGGTCCTTCTCACCTGTTCCATCACCCCAGTACCACAGTGCCTGAGAGCTATGTTAGATGAGATTGCAAAGACTGGGAATGTGCAGTGGACATCTCTGTTAGGTGTTGTTCTGATAAAATACCAACAGCACCCAGATTGAAAAATGAATGCATGGAAGAAATCATTGTCATAGAGTAACATTTTTATCCTAGTACATTGTGACTTTCTAGTTATCAAATCTTCCAAAAACCATTTGAACTGAATTGTTCAAATTGTACGTGTTGGAAAATGTAAAATCTAAATAATGTGAATAGGTGATGTTTAGCAGTAGGACCATTTCTTATTTCTCTCTTCCCTCCCTCCCTCCCTCCCTCTCTCCCTCCCTCTCCTCTCTCTCACCAAGTGTGTTGTTGAGACAGGTATTTTTAAGCAGGTGGATTTTCTTTTCTAGGAGAATATCAAGCAGCAGAGTGACAGTTCTAGGCTATGGTCTCATAACCACAGATGCAGAGACTTTGATGGATGCGCTGAATAGCCAGAACTTCCAAGTGGTGATCGTGGACGAATCGCACTACATGAAGTCCAGAACTGCTGCCCGCAGCAAGCTTCTCCTGCCCCTGGTACAGAGAGCCAGGCGAGCCATTCTTCTTACGGGAACCCCAGCTCTAGGAAGGCCTGAGGAGGTACTAGGATTTCTGTGCTTTAAGTGTAATGGGAAAACTGAATCTGTCTTCTGCTTGATGAGTTTCAAGTCAGATGCTTCAAATACCTTGTTAGCTCCAGATATTTGTTTATACTCATTGCAGAACTCGTCTATACTTCTTTTTCCCTTCAGTAGCTACACTTTGGAATATGGAGACAAACTAGGGCTCACTATAGGCCAGGCGAGGTATGTAGTTGGAACTTAGTCTAGGAACATAGTCATGTTCAGTGTCTTCTTCAGTCTCCTTTAGTTCCGACCATTTTTATAGTATCATTCTCTGTTATGTGGTATCTCTATGACTGATGTTATGTTTCCTTATGTATTACTAATTTTTAAAGCTTTCATCTTATTGGCTAGCTTAACTAAAGTTGAGTCTGTGTTATTGATTGTTCTAAGAACCGACTTGGGCTTGCCAATTTTCTCTATTTTCTACTCTATTTTCATCAAAATGCTTAGTGTTTTTATTTCAGTGGTTGCCTTCTCATTCAGCTTGCTCTTCCCTTTCTAGCTGGGAGGTTAGATTGTTGATTGGAGATTTGTATTTCGTGTTAACACAGGTGCATTCAGCAGAAGACTGCACTGTGGTTGATTCTTTTTATATGAATACCAGGAATAGAAAATTTATGAAAGTAAAAAATAGCTTAATGCTGGCCAGGATCGGGTGGGAGGGGAAGGGGTTTTGACTGCTAATGGAGTGTTGTGTAAATAGCAGTGATTGATGTATAGCTTTGTGACTGTGCTAAAAGTCATACTTGAAGAGTGAACTTTATGGTATATTAATATCAGTAAAGCTATTATGTTAAAGAGCCTTTTAAACTGACAGTAAAATATTATTGCATGCAGCCTATTAGAGTTGTGAGATGAAAAAACTTAGTAATACTACTAGCCCAAATGGTAAACTTTAAATAATTTTTTAAAACATGTATCTAGACTGGGGGGACAACTTAGCAGAGTTCAATCCCCAGGACCCCACATAAAGTCAGGCAGATGTGACAGCAGACTGTAATTCCAGTGTGGGAGAAGGAGACAAAGAATCCCCCCAACAAGTTGGCTAGCTAAACCAGCAGAAATGCAAGCTCCAGATTCAGTGAGAGACTCTGTCTCAATTTATAAGGTACAGAATTATTGAAGAAGACACTGATATTAGCCTCAAGCTTCCACAGGAACATGTACACCACACACAGAGATATAAACCAAAAGAAAAGGAAAAGCATACTTCTTGGACCAGAGAATAAATTTAGTGATATAGAGCTTGCCTACAATGCCTAAGGCTCTGGGTTAACCCCTAACACCAACTGTTCCATCTCTATAGCATGTAAAACTCAGTGAATAAGAACATAGCAATAAGCTTGGGGGTCTGGTGGCACACACCTTTACTCTCAGCATTCAGGAAGCCAAAGCAGGGCGATTAAATTTTGAGGCCAGCCTAGCTACATAATGGCTACATAAATACCCCATTTCATACAAACAAATATATGAGTGGATAGATAGATAGGTAGATGACTGATAGCATATACACAAAAATGCAATAATATAAAATTATTAATTTTTATGACTGCATAAAAGTTAAAAATAATATGTTTATTCACTATCAGGCATATGTTTAAATTTTTTATCTTGTACACAATAGTATGTCATTACTCAGCCCTTTAATTTATTAATTATTTAATTATTATTGATCTTGGGGAGAAACCCCCCTGTGTAGCAAGAGGTCACTGCAGCCACCAGAAATCCAAGTAGGCCACCTACCCGCCCATGGACCACCCCCAGACTCTCTCTGTACCCTGCACCCTATTCCCAACTCCCAACCCCTTCTCCTTGCTGTGTCACAGCCTCCAAGTTGGAAAGGAACCCATGCTCACCTGGAAAGCAAACTATGTCAAGATTGTTGATTAAGTTCACACAACATCAGGTCAGTCTTGAAAAACTGATGGAACTTATTTTTGAACCTGAAACTAATTAGTTTTAAGTATGTTTAAGGCATATAGAAATAATTGCGGGGCTGGAGAGATGGCTCAGAGGTTATGAACACTGACTGCTCTTTCAGAGGTTCTGAGTTCAATTCCCAGCAACCACATGGTGGCTCACAACCATCTACAATTCAATCTGGTGCCCTCTTCTGGCATGTAGGCATAACACTGTATATGTAATAAATAAATAAATCTTAAAAAAAAGAAATAATTGCACACATCTATAAAAGTATACATATCTTACATTTACTTTAAAAGTATACCGTAGGTATTAGGTTTTAGGTAAATAATTACATTTTAAAATGTAAAACAAAGCTCCCCACATCACCTTTTTTTGATGATAGCAAATGATATTCCATTCAAAACATGAATACAGTGTACTAGGTTCTCAATTTGATCATTAGTACCAAAAAAAAAAAATCAAAAGCAAACCAAAATACTGTGTGCACTAAATGCAAAGAAAACATGTTTTTGTTTGTTTGTTTTTGTTTTTTCTTTTTTTCTTAAACAGGTCTCTCTATGTGGTACTGGCTGTCCTGGAACTTACTCTGTAGACCAGGCTGACCTAGAACTCGGGTATCTGCCTGCCTCCGACTTCTGAAAAGGTCTTGCCACCACAACATCTGGCTATACTTCTTCAAGACAACTAAGTTCTTCTTACCCAATATCAGTTTTGTTCATGATAATATTGATCTCATCTGGCTCTAGTTCTGGGATCCACTTTTCTAGTTCTTCTGTCCAAGGGTACCTCAGAGAGAATATGTCAGTTTTATGTATGGCTCAATTTTAACGGGTTTGATTTTTTTTGGGTTAACTTACAATTTTGATATTTTATATCTTGAAAATATTTGCTCAATTCTAATTATAATCCTTGATCTAAAAATATATCATAATTTTTCTAGTTTTTCACTCGCTTTCCATTTTACTTTGTAGCCACTGGACTAAGTCAACTTATTTGAATAAATTGTATTGTATTGTATTCAATATCTATAGTTGAATGATGCAAATTATCTTATTTTCAAAGTCTCAGAATTCTGGGTGGGTAGTGTGCCTTTAATCCCAGCACTCTGGAGGCAGGGGCAGACAGAGTGCCGAAAATGTCTACCATAGCTTTCTCCTCTTGAATGTTTATGTTGAGAAGACTGCTTCCCCACAGAGATTAGCTAAGCCTGTCTCCTTGTTCAGATGTATCTAATAAACCTGCCCCATTGTTTATCTGTGTGTAATAACTACGTCCTTGATTAAGCTGTGTGCAATAATCATGCCCCCGTCTTCAGCTGAGATTCCAAGATTTAAAAAAGTTTTTTATTGTTATAGTACTTTGCTTATCTATGCCCTCTATGGTGGATCTCCAGAGTCTGTCATTTCATCCAGGGCAGAGTCTAGGCCCTCCCACAAGAGTCCAGGCTGAGAGAGCATCCCTCACTGTGGGATGGGCACTCAAAGTCTATTTGTACGCAAGGGATAAATACTACCTAAGGCCCCATAGATTACCTAGGCCTCCTCACTGACACCCGCATGCATGGGATCTGGGTCAGTCCCATGTTTTCCACACAGACATCAATCTGGGGTCCAAGAGCTCCCCCTTGTCAGGTCAACTGTTTCTGTGGGTTAAACCAGCCCAGTCTTAACTCCTTTGCTCATCAGTTCTCCCTTTCTGTCACAGGATTCCAGAAGTTCAGTTCAGTGTTTGCTGATGGACAGAAATCTTTTTTAAAGAGTGTTCATACACATATATAAATACACATATATGTGTCTATTTGTTACATTTAGAAACAGATAATTTTTATCCCTGAAGAATAGATAGGGTGGCCGGGCGTTGGTAGCACACGCCTTTAATCCCAGCACTTGGGAGGCAGAGACAGGCGGTTCTCTGTGAGTTCAAGGCCAGCCTGGTCTACAGAGCTAGTTCCAGGACAGTCTCCAAAATAATACAGAGAAACCCTGTCTTGAAAAACCAAAAAAAAAAAAAGAATAGATAGGGTGGAGATAAAGAAAAAAGAAAGGCCTTGAGGAAGAAATATTTTTGCTTTTATACTTATTTTTAAATTATTTTTTATCATAATAACTTACTTGAAAATATTGTACTATATTAAGAACATTTGTATTTTTACAGCTTTTCATGCAGATTGAGGCTCTCTTCCCACAAAAATTTGGGACTTGGATGGAGTACGCTAAACGATACTGCAATGCACACATCAGGTAGGATAATTATTTTCCATAAACCTTTATCTGCACATGCTTAAAACTCTAAACATTAAACACTGTTAGCCATGCCTTATTCCAGTGGTTTTCAAACTTGTTGTAGCTGGGAAAGAATTTAAGTAAAAGCTTGTATGAATGACCTACATATAATGTATAGGAAATAGCTAGGTGTGGTGGCAGATGCCTTTAACTCCAGCACTTGGGAAGTAGAGCAGCAGAAATGCTATAGGCCATACTTGCCTACATAATGAGTCCTTGTTGAAAGAAAATGTGCCTATTCTTGAGATGAGTATGTACATGGAGGTGTATTGTTCTGCTATTCATTTGACTGTGTTGGGATGTCAGGCTTAGATGAGGTAGGTGTTGTTGTTACAGTGATGTCTTGGTTACTGTTCTAGTGCTGTGAAGAGACTCTGTTACCAAGGCAACATATAAACGAAAGCATTTAATTAGGGGCATGCTTATAGTCTCAGAGGGTGAGTCCATGACCATCATGGTGGGAGCAAGGGAGCAGGCAGGTATGGAGCTGGAGCACCAGCTGAAAGCTTATATCTACATCTGACCCACACTTGGAGGCAGAGAGCTAGACGGGGCCTGGTATGGGCTTTTGAAATCTCAAACTGAGAATGAAACATTCAAATGTATAAGCCTTTGGGGCCGTTCTCATTCAAACCATCACAAGTGAAGAGATGTGTGGAGCCTGGTGTCAGTGTCCAGGAACTTTCCTGCACTCTGCTTCTTGTTATGTGTTGTGATACTTTTGTTTCAGGAAACCATCCTGATTCAGGGTTTCAGTCCCTTTTAGACAGAATTATGTTTCCCATACATGATCCTTCCTAATTTTTGTGTTGTTCCCATGATGGGTCTGTTTGGTATGAGTCTAGGTATTGATTAAAATGAAAAACTTTAATGATGATTCTTGTACTGGAGATGCCAAAGTTTGTTTACTTGATATACAGTTTCTAGATTTCTCATTGGACAGCTAAAACAGGCTAAACATTTAATCTACTTGTCTATCCTACTGTCTCTTTTTTTTCATTTATTTTTATTTTATGTACATTGGTATTTTGTCTGCATGTATGTCCATGTGAGGGTGTTAGATCCCGGGGAACTGGGGTCAGAGACAGTTGTGAGCTGCCATGTGGGGCTGGAATTGGACCTGGGCCCTCTGGAAGAGAAACCAGTGCTCTTAACTGCTGAGCCATCTCTTCAGCCCTCTACTGTCTGTTTCTTGATTAGGGTTTGTGTATCTGCCATATGACAACGGAAGTGTGTACCTCACTCATTATGCAAACAGTATTTCAAAGAGAAATATTTCATCCTTTTGAAATGTTGTGTGATTGTGAAGGTTAGCTTTTGTTTTCTGTTTTTTACTTGCTAGATAAAGTAATTTCAAGGGCAACATTCTGCTTCTCAAAAGCATTTTCTTTTTAAGTGTGTGTGTGTGTATGTAAATGGGTATATGCATATGTGAATGCAGGTACCCAAGGAGGTCAGAATAGGGAGTCAGATCTCCTGGAGCTAGTGTGTCAGCCATCCAGGATGGGTACTGGAAACCAAACTTAGGTTTTCTTCAAGACCCTTATGTCCTCATAAGGGCTAAGCCATCTGTAGCCCTTTGAAGATGTTTTCTACATCTATTTCAGAAGTCTTTCTAGTCCTTTATTTCTTTACCTTGAAAGCACTGTGGTTCCATAAACTTTGATTCAGATCAAGGCATTTCCTGACATTTTAAGTTAGGCTGTGGGAGGCTATATTTTCTTCCACAGCGTTTTTATTCTGGAAAGGTGTCATTTTCACACTATAATTTTACAGAATGCAAATCGTGGATCGTTATTCCATCCTAGACCCATGTTTTATATTTGAAATGTCATGCTGCATTCAAAATAAAGTTAAGTGAAATGCTCAAGCAAAAGTGTTACTTTGTCTTTAAAAAGCTTATTAAATTCCTGAGTAATGGCCTAAAGAAGCATGTTAATACAAATTTAATCTGATGAAAGAACTTAGGTTGTAAGAACCAAATACCACATACCCCACTTGATTTGAGAGGCACAGGGAAAAGGGATTACTCAACCAGGATACCCTTACCCAAATGCCATATGTTAGTCACTCTGCTGAATTCTATTTAGATGAAGCTATAAATACACACAGGATTTGGAGAAGGAAGCACAGTGAATAAATTGACAAACATTGTTCAAGCTAGGGAAGGTTTAGAGCACACTTAGTCCCTTTGGGCATTTTCAGGGGTTAAATCGCTTACCCTGTATCTTGTTATTTTCTTTTGTATTCCTCCCCATTTTTTCTTGACTTTTTCTCTAAACATGAGAGACTTCAGAAGTGGCCACTTGAATAAGTACTCCTGTACTTACAAGAAGAAGACATGTGATTAATCCAGCCAAGCATCCTCTATCAGAGCTCTCCTTAGCATATGCTTTGGAGCCAGGTGTACAACACAAGCCTTTTATACTAGCACTTGGAAGGCAGAAGTAAGTGGATCTCTGATTTCGAGGCTATTCTGAATTCTAGGCCAGTCAGGGGTACATAGTGAGACACTGTCTCAAACTAAAAACAGAGATGTGCTTTGGGAAGACATCTGTCCTTTCTTATGTTGTGCTTAAAACTTAAATTTGCCTAGAAGATCCGGGGAGATTGTGCTTGCTTCTTATGCACATGGTGCTGGGTTCAGTCCTCAGTGTGGAACATCACATTCAATGCCAGTTCAACTAATTAGGAGAATTACTTGTCTGAATTTTCTTGAGAGGGGAAATGCAGATTGATAATATATACTCAAGGTGTTATGTTCATTTACAGCATGATCAGGGGCATGTTTTCTTCCATATATCTCCAGCACTGTATCATTTAGTGTTCTTCCTTTGGCTAAATCCAGGAGTATTCTGTGTGCAAATGGCAAGGATCTGAAATGATAGTATACTGAACACTCAAGGTATGTTTGAGGAATAGTTAAATAAGATGTAGGATGGATTCTGCATTTATGCTTGGAAAGTCAGGTTTTTGCTAAAGAGATGTGAGAACGGAGTGTCTATAGTTCAGTTCCAACAGACTTCTGATTTTGAATCTTCATATGTTGAATTGGTTTATGAGGTCACTTTATCCTACCTCCTGGCTCTGGCTTGATTTTTAATTAATCCATTCATTCAAAACGTATTTTTAGGGGGCAGGAGAGATGGCTTAGTGGTTCAGAACCCTGGCTGCTTTTTCACAGGACCTAGGTTCAATTTCCAGCACCCACATGACAATTACTAACATCTATAATTGCAGTTGCAGAGGATCCAACATCCTCCTCTGGCCTCCACAGTCACCAGGCACACTTGAGTTACACAGACATATATTCAGGCAAAACACACACACACACAAAATTTACATGAATAAAACTTTTTTTAGGTTGTCTGGTATATTCCAGGCCATGTGTTACCCATCAGATATGCTCTAGGATCAAAATAATTCAAGCTTTCCAGGTAGTGATAGGGTTCATCTTTAATCTCAGGAGACAGAGGCAGGCAGATCTCTGAGTTCAAGGCCAGCCTGGTCTACAGAGTGAAGTTCAGGACAGCCAGGGCTACACAGAGAAACCCTGTCTCGAAATACACAAAAAATAAATCAGGCTTTCACTGAATTGTCAATTGAGGCACCAACTAGGTAATTGCAGTTTTGATGAATGTCATGGGAGGGTGTGGGAGGAAGGGAATGGGTGTGATGACTGAGTGTGCCAGAGTGAACCAGTCAAGACAGCTCAGAGCATCCTGTGAGCAAACCTATTTCCTTCCTCTTCAGGAAGTGGGAATTCTATATGCTAAAGCCAGAACAAGAGAGACACTGTGGTGTTGAGGAACTAAAGGAAGTCCAGCTCAACTGAGCATTCTAGAACTAAACCAAGATCTCTAGACAAAGATAGAGTTAGGTAGGAGTCAAATTATAGTCTTATTCATCAGAATAGGAATAGGAAGACATTGTGGGTGTCTTCTGTTTCTTTTGTGGGTGTTGCTTATTGCTATTATGGGATTTTTTTGGAATAGAAATACATAAGAAAATTTACTATTTAACCATTTTAAGTATATAGTTTGGTAGCCTTAGATACATTCATATAGTTATAAAACTTTTCATTTCTAGCACATTTCATCATCCTAATCCAAATCTCTGTACCCATTCAAGGGTGTTCTCCATCTCTTTTTTTTTGTTTGTTTGTTTGTTTTTTTGTTTTTCGAGACAGGGTTTCTCTGTGGCTTTGGAGGCTGTCCTGGAACTCACTCTGTAGACCAGGCTGGCCTCGAACTCACAGAGATCCACCTGCCTCTGCCTCCCGAGTGCTGGGATTAAAGGCGTGCTCCACCAACGCCCGGCTCTCCATCTCTTATTCAGCCTCTGCACTATGAAGTTGCAAAGTGTTGGAGAGTAAGGTGTGATAAGATTTGCTGTGGGAACAACAGACCTTGGCCGGAAACCCACTCCTCCATCAGCCTGGGAGCAGGCAGCTGTGAGACAATGTTTACTGAAAACAATCCAGTGCCTTAAGAAATGTTTACCAGAGCTATAAGTTCCTGATAAGGGCTTGATAAGGGCTCGCTCACTGAAATACCCTGACTTTGATCTTCCCAATGGCTAGCCACTTCTTCCTGCCCCCTGCTGTCACCGATTCTGGTGTCAGGGATTTAACCACCAGCCAGGAGGAGGAAGAGAGATGTGTGTGCATGTGTGGGTGTATGTATGGCAGAAGCTTTTCTGGAGGAAAGTGTTTCTTGGGGAGTTCTCCTGAGCCTTCTTGGGGTGCATAAAGTTTTCTTAACGCAACCAACTGGTCTCTGTGTCATCAGTCTTAACACACTCGCCACATTCTCAGATACAGGCTATGCAGCGGGCACGGCAATTTACAAGTTTCTTTTACTATTTTTAGGACTATATTTTTACATGTTTCAAAATTTTAAACCAATAGAAGAATAGGCAAATTCATAATTTTTGGAAAAGAGATTAGTGCACTAAAA